GAGGTAGCGACACATCATATATTACTCTTCGATTCAGTACGTCTCAAAATAGGCACTTGAGTCATATGAATGAATTTCAGATCTTGTTTCATATACTACAGAAAAGTGAAACTTGACACAGTTGCCATACAGTAGATTTAGCAAACCCCAATGTTGGTCGCAATGGATTTTGTTGTGCCACCTGAAGAATAAGTTCATGTACTCATCACTCTCACTATTCCTCAGTATTATGAGATGATATGTAGTAAAATCGTAATTTAAATGCACTTTGTTGCTGACAGAGAAGTATCACTGTAAGATCTAGAGAAATCTAAGGAATTTAGGTTTTAAAAATGTGGAGTTCAGGAGGAATTGTGTGGTCTGTGCTTTATGATATTAACATTAAACATGATGATATGTTTTTAAAAATAGCAACTGTTTTTCAGAAATAATTCTGGACTCTGTCTTACAGGAGAAGAATTGCAGAGAAGGGCTCATCACCTGAACCTGACCAGAGATCAGTAAGTACCATTAGATCCTTCTTGTAAGATGATGTCATGGGGTAGGACTGGATAAGTCTGACTTCTTCCTACTCCATTCAAGCATGTACTAGGTATAAGCAAAGTGATATTGGATTAGCATTTGTTGGATATGTGTAAAATTATGTGTGTTGACATATCAACTGTCTTTACATGCTTGAAAGAATAAATCAAATCAAATCAAATCAATCCAATTTTTGTCCTGCCTGCCAACACTCTCTTCCTCTCTCACACAGCTGCATCATCTATCTCTGATGTCAGTCTGAAAGTAAATATCACCTCCATATCCTTCACCTGACACTTTTGACTTCCACAGTGCACCATCTGCCAGGATTTTGAGTGGTAACCGGCACACTGAAATAGATATTTACTGTACTGTTGTATATGAAGTGAAGCTGTACTTGACAGAACTATTCTGCATTTGTGTAATGAGGCATGCTAATGAAGCACGCTCTCAGGGCAGTGCGAAAGCTCCATTCCTGTCAAATCCAATTTCCTCTCAACTCTGAGGTCAACAAAAGGCCAAATCAGAGTTAGTTTCTTGCTTTGGGAAGAAGCAGCTCTAAAGTGTCCTTTGCTAGCTAGGAGACCTTTCTTAAAAATGAAAATGTATTCAGCTAGTATTCAGACAGCCCTAGAAGGAAAGCGGCCCGTTCGTCTGTATAAACTGTCTGCCACCTCATATGAACAAGACAGATGGCAAGACAGCATAATCTGAGGTTGTCTGCTGGCATGCTTGGAGGCCTGAGAGTGTGCAAGTACAGTACATGTGAGTTTGGGAATTACACACACTGTCTCTAGGCTTCATAAAGAAAGATAATATTAGTAAACAGGTGCACGGTATTATAGTCCATCACACAAAGCCTCAAACTGTCACAGTCTTAGGTTACCTGCATTGTTTGAAATTAGGAACATAAAACAGCTATAGGCTCTGGGTCAGTGTGAAACAAACATGCTGCACATCCTGCCCGCTACAGCAGACCACTGTTACCTGTCCACTAATCAGCTGCTGATTCCAACATGAGGGCCTCGGGTAAAGTAATTCATCTCAATTCCTAAGTTAGGGAAGAAATAACTGAAATAAAATAAACAAAAATGATCAAAAATGGGTTATTGGATCTGCTGTACTATATGTAGTTTTGACACTTTGGTCTATTTACATTTGCAGGAAAAAAATCAAAGCATGACCTTCTGAGATCACCAGCTTCGCAGGCCTGTCAGACCAGTCCACTGAGTTTGGGAAAGTAGCTGACTGTGATTTTTAATGTAGGGTGCTGTTAAAAGTACAGTGATTAAATGGGATTCTGCAAAAACTCCAGTCAAAATAAAATAACAAACAGGCCCGCAGAAACTAACCAAAGAACAGAAGTAAACCTACCAAGCTCAGTCAGAATGGTGACTTTTTGAGAGGTTATAATTGTCATTGTCGCCTGTCTGGACAACAAATTGTCTTTTAGACATAATTAACATTTTTTTCTTTCATACACGGCGCATATATTCTTAGTACATGTAGTAGTAGTATAAAAAGGGGTGTTTTTCAGATGATTTGACAGCTTTGATTGGCGGCCTGTAGCCACAGCTCCACCTCTGGTCACTACTGTGCAGAATCTGGTTGTAAAATGCGTCACAAAAACAAGATGGCTGCCCCCATGTTTGTGATATTTTGGCTTCATTTTTGCATAGTGGAAGGAATCGCTGACATGTCATCTGTTTTTATGTACAGTACAATCTGAGTATGCATTAGAGCTGATAGACACATTGTTTAAGCCATTCCTTAGTCTTTTGCTCCTGTGCTAAAAAACAAAACCACTCTCCAAGTGCACAGTCACACAATCACAATCACTGTTTGGGGAAACATTTTATTTTCCATGTGTTTTTGAAGACAAAATTAAGGTTTGTGGAAATAAAAATGTTTTCTTTCTAATAATATTGCTGATTTACCATACGATTATTGAAATACAGTATGTAACCCAGAGTCATATATTACCTCTAATGTACAGAACTTCTTATCAAAATCTTATTTGACTGTACTACTAGTGTAAATCATACAAGTTTGTTAGTGGCTGCCCTGTACTGCTGTGTAGCGATTCCATATGTGACTGACTACCTCGGCATGGCTGCTGCCCGCATCAGATAAAACACTTAAACAATTACTGTCTTATCTGCTGTGGTGGGAGAAGAGCTTGTGGCCTCATTATGACCAGATTAGAGAGAGAAGAGATCCCACTCTCAGTCACTCTTCACTTCTGATAGTCAGTCGGCCGGGTCCTCAGGTGACACTGACCACATTATAGTCCTCACACACAAACGTAATGATATTCAAACATAACCAGCGTGCCGTCCTGGGGGGGGGTCATCAGACTTTCTTCCATTTTAGGCCTTGCTGAGTTTTGTGTCCTGCTGGTCCAAGATACCAAACTTGAAATACTGTTGGCAATGTAGACCAGCAGAGTAGTTGTGAAAATAGTTGGGTAAATGTGATTTCACAATGAAGGAACCCCACAGCACTGATCACTGAATAATAATAATAGTAAACAGTCACAGTGGTTATTAACAATATTTATTCTAGTTTTTTTTTTGTTTTTGTTTTTTTTTTTTGGTACAGCATTTGACAAAGAAAAGTACGTTGCATTGAGGATATCAAAATATAATTATCAAATCTATAAATGTAGATTTTTGGACAATAATATTAGAATTTGAAAGTTTAACAAATCCAGTAACAGTTTATAAGCCAATATTTGTATTTCAACATCAAAACTTTTTGATACATCTAGTAAAGGTGGCCACTAAAGACCTGTGATTAACATATGTACCGATGTGTCTTATAAAATTTATATCTCATAGATGTAGATTTTAAAAATTTGCCATAGTTTCTGGAGCTAATGTACAGTAGCTGGACTGGTCATCAGACCTGAAAATCTGAATACCCAGTTCAGCTGCTGCTGTATATGAGTTACAACTAAGTGTACCCAGGAAATGCATATCTCATATAATTTTTGAAAGTATATCAAGTTTTTATTAACTGGAAAGTACTTGAATCTGTAACAAATATGTAAAGATACTGTGCCTATCAAACCAATAAATGTAACAGCAAGTAATGTCTCAATAAAAGTGAAAAAACAATATAATCACAGCTGTAAGGAAGTATTTACAGAACAGCAGAAAAAGGAAAAAGTGAAAGACCTGGTTTTACCAGCCTGCTCAGTCTCCTCCTTCTCTTTTTGTCTCATTGTCCTCTTTCATGTGGAGACAATATAAAATAACACTCAGAAATTCAACAATAGAGTTTGAAAGAATGATGAAATCTTAATGCAGTCTTTGTAATGTCACACTATCTCTCTCTGTCTTTTTCACTCATTCTCTGTTTCTCATTTGTCATTTTTTATTCTTCCAGCTGTTGCCTGCAGTTCTACCTCCTTTCCTCTGCAGGGCAGTGAGAACTGGCTGTTCATGTTGCAGTCGACTCAACTCTTACATGCCCTTACATTTCTTCCGGTGTTATTCCCCCACTTTGGTTGCCTGAATGTGCTCTGAGAGCTGTTGACAGGCTCAGTGGTGTTATTATTCATCCAGTTAACAACCCTGCAGCTTTAGGATTTTGCTGCAAATTGTTGTCCCCATGTAAACTCCATCACAGATCTGTCATAACAGGGGACATCACTGGAAGGAAAATCAAAATCTGTTTACTTCTAATAGTGGTTAGCAGACAAAAAAGGAAAATTAATTGTGGCAGATAGTATAAAATTTAAAACTGTGCATGATTCTTAGTCACGCTAACACTGTGGCTAACAACAGCAGTGCTTGGTTGGTTTGTCCGCCACTTTTGTCCAAACCAAAACATCTCAACAGCTTAGCAAAAGGTCTTGATAACAATTGAATTGCTTGCCATGAAATTATGTGCAGACATTCATGTGCCCCTCAGGGAAAATCCAAGTATGATGGCCTTGGTGATCCTCTGACTTTGTCTAGCAGGAAGTCCAAACTTATATTTGTTAAATACTTTGTTTTATAACCATAAATCTGTAAAACTAAAGACATCCCCATCAGCCTCAGCTGTACTTTCTGTTTAGTGCTAACTGCTAAATGTTAGCATACAAACACACTTAACTGCAATTATACCTGCTAGCATGTTAATATTGTCATTGTGAGCAAGTGACCATGCTAGTTTGTTTCTCTGAAGGCACCACTGTGCCTAAAGAATCTGTAAATTCTTCTCTAATGAAGTTTTTTGTTTTTCTTCTTCTTTTAATAGTTATACATGGACATTGTTACATCTACCGATGCAATCCAGTTTACTTTTTCAACAACACACTGGAGTTAATTAACAGTTTATATAATGAATGATACTTTTTAAAGGATTAGAAGAATGAAATGTGCAACTCAGCTAAACTTTTCGAAGTCACAGTTTATGTAAGATCTTGTCAATGTGATCTAATTCTCTTCCTTCTGCTGCTCTGTCATTTCCCCTCCCCCTCTGTGTAGACCATGCTGACTGCCATCTCGATGAGTGCCATCGCTACCAATGGAGTAGTGCCAGGTGGGTGAGCAGACGCTGGCACCACACAGTCATCACTGTTTGAGGCTGTCCGCTTCTAAATTTCTCCTTTCACTGATTGCTTTTGGCACATTACACCCAGCACAGCTTGATATCCCCAGAAACATTAAAAGCTTGAGTCTGGGATCTTGTGCACTTTAACATGTCGTCACACAGCGATATTTACACAAAACAAAAGCATCAGCCAAATGCCTGAAATGTAAAACTGAACGTGTGTGTTTGTATCTGTGTGCAGACACATTAACATACACATTAAACAAAATAGCTATATTCTATAATGTGCATGTACATAGTAATGATGGTGACTTACCAGTTGCTGTGCATACAGCAGGGGTCAGAGCAAATTACAGGCTTGTCGAGAAGTGTGGAACTGTACGCTCATTATAACTGGTACCAGCCTTTATGCTGCTGCAAAGTGCTGATTAAGGTCTACTTATCTATGTTCAGTTAATTTATTTGCACAGTGTTAGAAAATACAGGCACTGATGTAAAACACAATGATAAGAAAATACCATACCAGTAACAAAACTTTTGGAAAGCATTATGTTGGAAGCACATTAGTACAATTACGCAGATGTTTGAAGACATTTTTGATTCTTTATCAGTTTATGCAAATGTAAAAGTTATAGATGACGATCAGTTTTTGGGTAAATAGACCAAACATTTAGTGGTTACAACACCACAAACTTGTAGCTTCTTGCTTCTCTTTGATAAGTTGCATTTCTGGCTGGTAGTTGCACAAATAAAAAAAAATTGGCAGACATAATTATGGGTTCTGGCTGCACGATACACATTTGGCTTCAGTTTATTTATTTAGAAAAAATGCTAAATTAGCTTACATTATTGATTTTGTTGTCACCAAAAATGGCACACAAATGTCAAGCTTTAGTAACAGACTTTATATGTTTGACTTAATTTGATATTTTTAACAAACTGAATTACAGTTTCAGCGAAATTAAGTCTTTGTCTGTAGCATTTAAAAATATATAAATTCCTGCATACAAACATCACACACATATGTTTCATTTAACATCTGTGTATTTGTGTGTAGCTGGAGGCTCCTACTACATGATTTCCCGTTCGCTGGGCCCTGAATTTGGGGGAGCAGTGGGGATCTGTTTCTACCTGGGAACCACCTACGCTGGAGCCATGTACATCCTGGGGGCCATCGAGCTCCTCCTGGTGAGAAGCATTGGCACTACTCCTCTCTCACTCTGCCACTGTTCTTATCAGTATGTTAGGAATTTAATTTTTAAGCCAGTGACAGCATTTACAGTGTTGCTCCAACAGGCTAAAATCAAACAGCTGAAGTTTTGTTTGTAATGAGATCAAGATAAATATACAAGTGTAGATAAGGATAAGCATCAGACAGCTAGCTCTGAAACAAACATTTAAAAGTTGATTTAGTCCAGTATGTCCTGACCATTCAGTAATTATTTACATCATCATAACAATACTTAGCTCCTGAAAATTATGGGACTCAAATCAGGCAAATCTTACAACTTAAATAACGCTGGCACAGTACATACATGTTTATACATATACAAACACATACATAAAAAATGTGCAACATTTGTAAATTTAGACATGAATGTGCTGCTTTCCCTCTGTTGCATTTAATGCAAAATTCATACCTGGATTAATAACCTGATTGAAAAGTACTTGATGTAAATACGCAGTCTAGGTGACGTAGATGTAAAAATGCCTATAACTACTAGGCCTGTTACTCAATACAGGCATATTCTGAGACTGATTCTGGTTAATAATTGGTGAACATTTTTCACAGCATTTCCAGAACAGCTGTCTTGTTATTTCAGACTGGAAATTAAAAGCAAAGACTGGTCACAGTCCATTGAGTGGGTTCATGCTGATGTGACTATAGTAAAGTGTCAGCCCTCTATTGTATAGCCCACTTGAAATTACATCCATTTCAAGCTAATTCATCCGTGGCGTTGCCAGACCACAATGGGCTAAAGGGAAAAACGATGGGACAGTGCTGCCAGGTTAGTGAAGGATGAACACTCAGATCACAGCTTTTCCTTCCCTGCAGTGAACTCTCAAACATCATACTTTGACAGTTTAGTCACTTCCACAGGCTTGGTTGTTATTTACAAACAGGGAAATAGCAATCACTGAGCATAACACCAGACCTGTTTGAATGACACACAAAAAAAAATACTGACTGCTGAAAAGTTGCTGAATGCTGAAATGCTAGTTTGTTTAAAGGTATAAAAGTGGAGGAAAAAGTTGACTGAAAGGAAATCACAAAAGGAAAACAGGTTATAGCAGAAAAGGGGAGAAAAGTCAAAAGAAAGAAAAAAGGATATAAAAGAAAGTAAAGTTTAATATTTAATGATAGAGGGAAACCGTAAAAACAATTTGATGTACACATTGTAAAAGCTCAGAACTGAAACAGAAGGATAAAGATGACAGTTGAAAAGCAGAAAGATAAAAGAAGAAGCTGTTGGAAGGAAAGAAGAAAACAAAAAGAAAGAAGGGGTTAGAGACAGCACTGAAGGAAAGAAAGAAGGGTGGAAGAAAGAAGGAACAAGGAAAGTAAAAAAGCTGAAAGAAAAGTGGAAAGAAAGGAAACAAAGCAGCAAGGAAGGGGAGTGGATTTTGGATTGTAAGGGGAATGGATTTTGACCTTGATGGCTATGACTTGGTATGCACAAACAGAGAGAATAAGATGGGAGGTGGTGTGGCCTTGTACATAGATATAAACATTTGTTATAAGAGAGTGGAGAAAATGTCTAGGGTGGTGGATAATTTGCTGGAGTGTGTGACTGTAGAAATACTCGTGGAAAAAAAGAAAAATGTTGTAATAAGCTGTATTTATAGAGCACCTGGAGCCAGCATAGAAAAATTTAATGACTGGATGGAAGAAAATTACTTGACAATAAGTCATAAATTAATGTTCATATGTGGTGACTTCAATATAGATTTGTTAAATCCTAACAAGCACACAG